AATCTGAAAGGTTAATTAGACTGATTTAATCTGAAAGGTTAATTAGACTGATTTAATCTGAAGGGTTGTCGTATTGTTTTCCGACACATGAAGTGTGAATGTGCTCGAAGTGTCAGAATGTTTCAAATGTTACTGTGGTTTAAATTCATAAACATGAATATAAAACAAAATAAACATAAACATGTTCAACAGTTTCACATCACTCAAACAGCACTGATCTAAAATGGCTGGACTATCCCTTTAAATGTGTGGTTTTGACCCAAGGGCAGCAGGAGGGTGACCACAGGTGTGTTTGTGTTTCAGACGCCTCACCTGGTGAACCTGAACGAAGACCCTCTGATGTCCGAGTGTCTCCTGTATTACATCAAGGAGGGCTTCACCAGGTCAGAACCGGCCATCCGGACCCATCTGTACAATCTAAACCACCAGGGAACTGTTCTCAGTCTGGTTCTGGCAACTCGGTGCCAGTCTTAGTCCACTCCTACAGGAGACCTGGGTTCAGGACTTCTCTGATTTTAAAGCAGCTTTAGATCCAGTTGTCCTCCAACACTGACAGAGGACCAAAGACCAGAACCACTTCAACAATCAGGGGGTTCTGGGTGTCCCTCTGAACTGTGTCTCTGTGTCCCCTCAGGGTGGGACAGCAGGACGTGGACATCAAGCTCTCAGGTCAATTCATAAAAGAGATCCACTGTGTTTTTGTGAGTGAGACCAACGAGCAGGGAGAAGGTGAGACACCTGTCTGTCTGTGTGTCTGTCCATCTGTCTGCCTGCCTGTCTGTCTGCCTGCCTGCCTGTCTGCCTGTCTGTCTGTCTGTCTGTCTGCCTGCCTGTCTGTCTGCCTGCTTGCCTGTCTGCCTGTCTGTCTGTCTGCCTGCTTGCCTGCCTGTCTGCCTGCCTGCCTGCCTGCCTGTCTGTCTGTCTGCCTGCCTGTCTGTCTGCCTGCCTGTCTGTCTGTGTGCCTGTCTGTCTGTCTCAGACCTGCAGTGTTCTTCCTGCTGACAGCTGCTTTTATAACTTGGGACACGACTCTTAAAAGAAATGAAACTTCATGATGTGAGTGAGGCTGTCTGGTTCTGGTTCTGGTTCTGGTTCTGGTTCTGGCTCGTGTCAGTCTGTATCTGAATGGCTCCTCACCTCGGTGAAGGTTGGCTCCCAGCCAACAAAGAAGAAGTGTTAAATCTGCACATCGTCCACAGATTTAACGAACATGGATCTGATGTGTCTGATGTATAGTCCAGATGTTTCTTTCCTGAATTATTTCTTGGTCTTTTAGTCTCAGGAGTCAAAGATCAGCCGGTGTGGACATGAACTTTTGTGTCTCTGTTTTCTTGTCTTTCTGTCAAAGCTGCCAGGACACCTGTCAGGTATCACCAACTCCTCTTCCTGTTTCATTCTGTTAGAGCTGCTGCAGCAGAACCACACGACTGACCTCAAATCAGTAGAACCACACGACTG